AAACGCTTCTTTTTGATTTAAATAGGTGGCAGCCTTGTTTTCAAGCTATATTTATTATCATATCTTCCACCAATGGGATCATTTCTTAAATATTTAGTTCTTGCACAAAAGCTATTAAATATATTTTTAATAGTGTCAAGATTAAAATCTTAAATTATGCACAAAAAAAAAAGCTTCAAAGAAAGTAACACTAAGTAATTTAGTAGCAAGCCCTGCAAAGGCATGAATGACAGTCAGCACACTTGCTCACAAGGATCATATTGCTCCGATTCCACACATGCACACACATGCACACACATGCACGCGCAACGCCAACTGTGAGTGGTAGCCTGCTCGTCTGTTGATATTCTGTGACAAGATAAACAGAAGACTGATGGAGTGGTTTTAAGAAACTTCTCTGGGTTTATTTAACCCAGCGGCCCCTCCTGTCTGTGTCTATTCGTCTCCTACACGGGAAGACGCTTCTATATTCAGCTCAGACTAAGATATCGCCTGGATCAAAATCAAAAACATGCATAAGGCAAACTCAAGTCAGAACTAGTATACAAGGAACATCACTCCGTCTTTCTGTTCAGTGTATCGTATTAATCAAAACATAACAAAACGTACAAAAACACTCAAACTTTTCCACATCCAAGTTAAACACCGATGCAATGAAGACGCTGTGTAAATTTAACATGTTTGAAGAAGGCACAGATGTCTGCACACGTACACCCCGACACACGGAGCTAAATATTCAGTGCGCCTGTCACAGAGCCAGACACCATGCTGACCGGGGCCAGACGTGTCAGCGATGGAGTGAAGGCAAGCGCAGCTGTGCGGCACACCCTGACACCACACACGCTCAGAGGAATGTGGTGCTGGCACAGCCCAGGTGCCGTCACTTAGGGTTGTGACATCGCTGCAGGAGTTTGTGTAGGGACAAGTCTGTCATCAAGACTCCCGGGGTACGTCGGTGGGTGCGCATCAGAAGAGACCAAAGAGAACTGGATAGTTATTTTCGCTGGGCTCCTGGAAAAAAAACAAAACAATGCAAGCACGAGGGGAAGATTTAAGGTGGGTAATGCTGGGTAGTGTTGTGCTGCCAAGTCTGCACGTGTGTGCGCTGCAGTGCAGAAGAGTGTGTGCATGTCTTAGGTAACTATTAATGTACTGCCCCTGGACTTTAGACAACACAATAAAGATTGGTGAGGATGATCAAAGTATTTTTACGTTGCAGGCCAAACCTTAGCACGTACACTGTGTCTGCAGGTGACTACTGTACAGCTGTACTTATCTATCGCAAAGTAGCAGAAAAATTTCCACCTTTATGTAATCCAATCAAAGCAAGACGCTTCATGATCTCCATTAGTAACAATGTACAGTGTTGGGTCGCCCGAGTGAAAAAGAAGTCGTACATTTTTTAATATATATATATTTTTTAAGACTCCATTATTATTCCAGTTTTGCTTCACCTATCATGCTTTCACCACACATTAACTACCACACCTCCATATGGCTAATAAACATGAACCTGAAGGGGAGAAAGGGAAGAGGGAGCCACAGCACAAGACTAGAAAGAGAGAGCAAGAGAGATTTGGTTTCTATTTAATAATTAGCTCATTCACTTGCAATTAATATTGTTCCTTGACTGAGTTATTTAAATACATTAAGCACATATAGTACAGTAATGCTGTACTGAGAACAGGGAGGCTGCAGACAGTATAATTAATACTGCCCTCTGGCTGCCCTCTGCCACCCCTGGAGGTCATCGGCAGATCCTCCTGTCTCAGTGAAACCTGGGCCATCACAGCACTCCGTCCAGCACCTGTTTGACCCGCTGCCCTCTTGGTAGGCGCCTCAGGTCAATCAGGTCCTGCACCACCAGTCTCACTAACAGCTCCTTGCCCTGGGCCTAACCCTAACCCCACCCCAGCCCACTCACTGCACCACTCTGAGCCATGATCCGAGTAACCCACCTCGCTCGGGTCACTCACACATGGACTCTAGTCAGGCTTTTCTTTGCACTACTTCCAAGCACTTTGCAACTTGTTCCCTAATTTGTGCCCTTCTCTTATTTTTCTATGTATCCCTCTTGATTATATACATTTCCCCTGCTTGCTACTTATTCTTTTTGTCTACTGTTTATATTTTATTCTGGCACTGTTGGTGTGGATCACCCACAATTTCATTGCACATGTACAATGACAATTAAGGGTTATTCTGTTCTATTCCAGTGAATGTCCCAAGTAATACCATTTAAACCATCCAGCCAATCAAACAGGTATCTTCTATGACCACAAGCAATGACTACTAACTGAATTACGAACTATAAAGAGAGTCAGCAGCCAAAGTAGATTCTTAGTTATTGATGTTGTTACAGTTCATAGAAAATATGGTATGAAGGGGGGAAAGGAAGGAAGTCTGATGAAAGAAGGAAAAGATGGCATCTGAAAAAATATTCCCTCTGTGTGAGTTCAAACTGCCACTTTTTTCTGGCAACGATGATACTGACTGTACTGTGTTAAATACACACTTTATACTTAAAGGTGCTTCCACAGATACAGACACAAACACTCGGTAAAGTATTAAACTGTGTTGTATATACTTGTATTCCCCAGATGAGCACTACACGCAGCCCATTTCATTCCAGTGTAAGCTAATAAAAGTGTCCTTGTGTGATGGGCCAGACATTCCTTCCAGTCTTTAAAAAGCTCCTGTGCAATGGCAGAGATGAGTCACAGCTGCCAGGAGACCACCAGTCATGTTCAGTGGGACACACGGAGTCACTCACACTCATGCATGTTTGATGTCCCTACGTTTCCCCTCTTTTCTCGCGCTAAGTGTACATGAATGTGGATCAGTGTAAAAGCACATCAGACTCTTCCTGTTGGAGTGTTAAATCTACACAAATCCACAGTTTTCAAAAACTAAAAACAATGGGAGAACATTTAAAACTACTGATGACAAATTTAAATTTAAAAGTAAAAATATTAAGGTTCACTGACATCGCTGGTACTTGAAAGAATGTTTAGAAAGCTGGTTGTGGTGCTGTTTCACATCCTTATAAGGGATATTTCTTTTGGTATGAGCGCCACTTGATGAAGCCACATTATAAACATAAGCAATTTATATAAAAAAAAAATTGTAGCATCTGTATTAGCTGTGTAACATTATCACTTTTATTTGTCATCATCATAAATAATTACACAAAAGGAAGAGCATCTCTTCAAACACTCACTGGGCTAATATAGAAAGGATAACATCTTGTTACAATGTCACGTTCTGCTGTTTAATGTTCTGCTACACTACATTAAACGGGTGCTTCTGCTCTTATGGCTGATGCCTGTGTACATTCAAACTTTGTAGAAAAGCAAAACATCCACCCGCAAAGGATTTTGTGTTATAGCGGTGAGAGTGATGCAGATGTGTGTCAGCGAGGCTGACAGGTTGTCATGTATGAAATGTACGCACACTCTTCTGCGCGAAACGCCTGCAGGGACCAATGAGAGCCGAGCATAAAAGACCGAGGGATGTGAAAAGATGAGCATGATGACAGCTCGTTGTAAGGGTGCACACGTAAACACATGAACTCACAAATGTGCAGATAAACACTGAGGCATGAGGGCTTATAAACAAAGGTTGAAAGGGTTGCATGAGAGAGTGTGCGCCACAGAAAGCACAAAGACTCCTTTGAGCCACTGACTGTAGAGCAGATGGGAGAAGTTAAGTAGATCGTGTGCACCTGAAATCTCAATTCTTACTTTAACTTTAGCTGGAGTTTTCGTGTTTGGGTCGCCAAAGTTCTACCAAATGTTACGACTTCTAAAACTGTTAGCACCTATGGAAAAATCAGCTCTTCATCTTTGAAAATACAATCAGTAGTTTTTATCTATGTGCAGAAGTCTGTTTCCAGTGGAATACCTCACAGAGACTCTCGATATATTTTCAGATTACTGGCCAAATGAACCGCTTAGAAATAATACTTGGCATTGATTGGCTGAAAACAAATGAGTGGAGCGAATAGAAGTGGGAGATCCAAATATCGATAGCGTCGATAGCAATCCTGGTATTGGTACTGGATCAATACTGGCTCAAAAGGATTGATACTTTCTATCCTTTAAGTTTAGTATATAGGCCACTGAATTGTGCAATTATTATCATTTTTTAAATGAAAATGTACTTAAAATTTTCACTATAAAAATGTTGAGTTGACTGTCGGATCTATGTTTTTATAGTCTAGAGCACATTTAAACGACACAAGTCGACCCAAAGTGCTTCACAGACGGGCAGATTTACATTCCAGGTCTCCAAAAAACTATATAAGAAGTGGACGGGGGTTTTGTTGCATTAATTATTGTAGAAAGTCAAAATCACAGGGATTTAGTAGCCGTTAAAATGTGTTCAGAATTTGCACGTCGACGATCAAACTCACAAATCATGACACACTCTCCCAAAATTGTCGCACACCACCAGTGGCTGAGATGCTGCTCATGAATAACAGCAGTAAAAGAATGTTTCAGTTATCTATACAAATATCTTTTTTTCTGGACCAACTTTTTTGTCTTTCATTGTTCTTTTTTTGGGATTTTTAACAATAACACCCCCACCAACCACCATGACCTGAATCAGAATGGCAACACAGTCAGGGAGGTTGGAGTTTATTTGCACGCACAAATGATGAGTGCCTAGTTTGATAGCTGTAGACTTTGGGAAGAAAACAACTGAATATTTACATTCCTGACCTCAGAAAGTCGTGGTTCAGGAGCTCTAAAGTAAAGCACACTGCTCGATCTGTTTAACTTAGATTTACCAAGAGATAGGCGAGGCCATGTAAATATATGGGGAGCGTTTAACTGATTAAAGAAATGGTTAACGACGGCATTAATGAAAATCCAGAAACCGATAAGAGGCGCTTTGGTGCACAACAAAATCTCTTATCTGTCTGGTCAGTGAGCACTTCCTGTGCCTTGGGAAACAGAAAAAAAAGAAACATTTTTAAAGACTTCATGTCTACTCACCCTGTCTTTGTCATCAGCCACATCGCAAAGCACATCATCCAGGTCGAGGATTCCCCCATCACCATGCTCCAACCGGTGAACCTGCAGCCAGTAGCTGGCATCCTGCAGAACAAGGAGGTAACAAGATGAAAATCAACAGTCGTTTTAAAATGACCCGACACATGAAAAAGTGTGGCAGCAATTGTAAGAAGATGCATATATTCCAAATGGCCTTCAAGACCCATTTTATTCATTTTATATTTTAAATGCAAAGAAATGAGTACATATAACCTTAAAGCATAAACATCATGAGAACTGATAAAGGGTTTCAGTAGAAAAGTCCACGAGTCCACCAGCGGACACTCCAAACACTTTGACATGCCGCTCATCTCATCATTGTTGGCTCTTTAAAGCAAGACTATCACAGTCATCGAGACCTGCGAGGAATGCCACCCACCATCACTATATAATCAAGCTCAATTACGTGTCAAAGTTTCTGACATGAAAAGCACACGCAAAGGTCACGCTTGATTGAAATAAGTGGGAATCAAGGCAAGGGTTAAGAAAAGAGAGGGGAGAGAAAAAGACACTGTACAATTATAGAAAAATGTAGCTTTACAATAACAATCTAAGGCAGGGATAAAAGGTAGAGTATTACCGCCATCACGCAGTTCTAAATAGGAAATCCAACTCCCAGATGATTGTAAAGCCCCGTCCCTGGGTCTTGACACGCAAAACCATGTGCACATGTAACTTGCTCCAAGCTAAACGGGAGAACGAGTTGAGTGCACATGCATGGAAGTGCCCAGTGTCCTGGCATCATTTGACAAAGTATTAACTTTTGAAGTGACTGTTTGGCTTCGTCCCACACACACAGCAGCCTTGAGGGTTACAGCCTCATTACCCACTTATACAGTTCCACTCCACTGCAACACATGCAGCTCACTGCAAAAGGGCACCAGACGCACGTCTGATGTGTTTAACTGGCAAACTAATACTACATGACAGGCCTGCCTCAGAGAAGGAAACTGATTTTTTTGGGGGGGGAAATGCAACTATACAGCAATGATAGTTTTGATAGTGTGAGTCTAAAAGCACTCAGTGAAAACACGACAATTCAAACAGCTGCATTAGTATTTTTCATGTGTTGCTCTTTTTTAGCTTCTCTTTAACTCACCCACTCGCTGCTGTGACAGATGTCATAGTTTATTACAGCCAGTGTCACTTTGTGCAACCCCACACACAAAGACCCTGTGGATTCTAAAGGATGGATCTCAGACACAAACACACAAAACATTTAATGTCAGCGATTTTATAAAGGAAAAAATGAAAAAGAAGTTTGGCCAGACCAGACTTTAGTAGTGACTGAACCGTAATCATTAACAGTGAACCACCCTAAAGCATCACTGTCTCAGAAACACTAGTTTAAAAAGAAATGGAGACCTCAAACACAGAGGGTTTGTAACAAAATGAAACTTGAAGTTTATTAGGAACACTCTGCTGTATGCGACTATAAATAAAAGATGGAAGTTCTGGAAATCAAAGCTAAGCTGTAAAACTTATCTGACACAGAAAAGCAGTAGCCAGCACTCACCAGAACTACATCTGCAAACAAGCCAATGCAAACAAATTACTGTAGGTTTCTGTGTGTGCTCAAGAACTTTTTTTTAAATTTATCGCTGCCTGTTATAACTGAAAGCATTCAGTCCAAAGTATTCATCTGAAACAGAGCCAGCACGTCCAACTTTTGTGTTTGTTGTGGGAAAGAAAGCCACAAACCACTGCCTTTAAGCCAGTTCAGCCAAAACACATTTTACTGTTTTGTTTTGAATCAACTGGGGCGTCTCCCCAAAAACCATAAAATCTAAACACTTTGATTTATTGTTTATGATTAACAATGAGTGAGCCTTCAAGAATGGCTTAAAAAGCCAGGATTTTACCTACTTTACAAAAACTGTTACGTCAATTTGAGAATGACCCCGATAACCCATCAGCTTATTAGAATATTTATATACAATGTATCTAATGCACTTTAAGATAATAAGGATGCAGATTTAAAAAGTAATACTAATCCAGCCTGCTCTTTAGTTGAGGCTTTAAGAAGATAGTCACACATAATAAGTGCACATAGCAGCACAATCTATTTAAAGTCCCCTATAGTATGTCAGTGTGGGGACAGACCAGGTTTGGGCACAAAGAGACTTTAAAACTGATGTGTGTGTGTTTGTGTGTCGTTCTGTGGTGCCAAGTTCATCGCGCAAAAATAGCTCACAGCAAAATGTCACAGTGCCAGACTTAAGACAAGGGACTAAGTCACATAGTAAACAATGTTTCAACATAACAGCTCTCTGATGTGGGTATTACAACTTTCTGTGCACATCATCCCTCAAACTGTCTCACTCGACTTTCGGAGAGAGAAAAACAAAACAAAACATTACAAACAAGTTAATGTGGCATCTTCTTTCTCACTCTAGTTTGATCCCTCTGGGCCTCATTGAGATTCTCACGACATTATTCTGCTGAAGCTCTCTGCTAAAGAAAGGAGGACCGATCTAAACTATTGGAGCCCTCAACAGTCCAACAGCAGACTTGAAAGGAGGCCAAGGCAAACGGGTTGGCAGCAGGGGAAGCCCATCACTACGTTTTAGCGAGACAATGCCGAGTCGTGAGCACCAAGATCTCCCTGACACCGTGAAAAGGAATGTCTGGAAGTGCCAGTGTCCACAGTTGAGAAGTATTCAAATGGTATTACACAGTCCTGAGTGTACTGACATGTGACAAAGACACTGTATGCAAAGTTGTGGACGCAGACTAACTTGATGTATTTCGCAAGATACTCTACAATATGTTACAATTTTTAACTATAAAGGAAAAAAAG